TAGGGTGGGGGGTGGAGGGAGGAAAGCTGTGCCTCGTGCGGGTGGGGCTCAGCACATGTTTGTCAGATTGACTCGAGACTCCCATCTTGTGACTGAACTGTGAGCAGTTGGGGTTAGGACCAGGACTTGTCAAACACTAAACAATGCAGGCTTTAGAACGGAAAGATTTTAGCTAATCCTTCTTAGAAAGCAAAAAAGGATTGGCCCTCGGGAGGCTGAAGGCAGCTGGAAGAGGATTGGCTGTGAGATGGGACAGATAAGTGGTTCTCTGAAAGCAGGGTTTGTGGAGTGTATACTGGGTGCCAGGCACAGTGGTGAGGGCTTTACACACGTCATTTTATGTAATCCTTATGATGGTCCTATGAGGTAGGCACTGTTCTCCCCATTTTATAGGTAAGGACATTGAGGCCAAAGGAAGTTGACCAGCGGCAGTGAAAGGTTTGGCATGGCACTTTGCAGACCAGAGCTGGCTACGAGCCGTGTCTTCCAGATGGAGGCCCATGGCAGTGAAGATGGCAGGAGAGACCCTGCGTCAGAGCTGAGGTTAGGTTGCAGCCATGTTCTCATGGCTCCATGCATGCACAGCTCACAGAGGCCGTGGCCTGGTCCAGGATGGGATTCTGCCTAGCTCGGGAACTTCCCCTAGTAAGGGGGAGCCCCAGCAGCTCCGAGGGGCCTCGAGAGGCAGGGGAGCAGCCAGGACCTTTTCCTGGCAGTTTTTACAGAAGACTGTGTTCACTTTAAAAAGTAGCAGAGTGGCCTCAGCAGTCGGGGTCCAGAGGAGCAGTAAAGGTGGCGGGGGAGGGGGACAGCAGTGATGGCACAGGCCCAGGGCAGAGGCAGCCGGGGCTGCGCTTGCGCTTTCGTGGGTGGTGTGTGTCATGGGTAGCTCAGCTGGAAGGCTGCTCAGAGATCATCCCGGCCGGCGCCTCACTCCAGGGGGGACACCACATCTGTTTGAAGAGGCGTGTTCCCCACGGCGTGAGAGGATGGGCCTTCCTCAGCAGGAGCGGCCTGTGTTAGCCAGGGAGAGTCTGCGGGCAGTAAGAAGTAGGCAGCGCTGTGGCCGGCCCCACACTTGGCCAACCTCTCCCGTCAGCGTAGCCCCGCTGAAGCGAGTTTCCACAGGGGCATTGCCCCCAGGCCTTTCTGTGCTGCTTTCCTCTGTAAAATGGGCGTAATAGCGCTGTCTCCCTTAGAGGATGCCGTGAGGAGTAAGCGAGACCATCCACTCGAGGCATGGAGCACGGTGCCTGGAGCACAGGAAGTGCTCCCCAAAGGCCAACCTGTTACTGCCATCCTGGCACTCTTAGGGACAAGACAGCTCTGTCCTGGATGGCTTAGAACAGTGTTTGTTTTTTTGTTTGTTGTTTTTTTAAACCAGAGACTCATCTTAGACTATTACTCAGGAAAGCATCTGAGGCCAAAGTGTAGTTTGAAAAAGCAGAGACAATATTATTTTCGGAAAACAAAAACGATGCGTAGCGTTGGTGAAGTAGTCTGTACCACGCATAGCCTTTGGAACATGGGATTTTGGGGCTTGGGAAACTTGGGTTTTATCATCGGGTCTTGGCTGGGTCTTCCCACCGAAGGGAAGCCAGGGGGCCACCTCCTTGTCCCTTTACATTGTGTGTGAGGGCCTCAGTGAGAGCAGGCCGGGGAGGGACAACTTGCAAGTGCAGGTCGCAGTGGGAAAATGAAGCCACGGCGGTTGGGTTATGTCTTGCAGCTGGCTGGGGTCCACAGTGTGGAGAGGACTGAATGCGAGGTGGCCTGGAGGACAGACTCTTCATAGTAGAATTGGATGCCTGGTTTAAAAGATGCCCCCAGTTTGCTCTCAGGAACCCATTGGGAGGAATAGTAGCCGGGTTTTGCTCCAGCTCTGGTACCCATTGGGGCAGACTTGGGACGGGCAGCCAGCTCCCACAGCCTGGCTTGAGTTGAGGGTTCTGTTGATCTTTTTGAGGTTTGGTAGGGATGGGGAGCAATCTGTGGTGAGCCCTGGCAGACTTTGCACTGGTCCTGGTTTCTGGGGTCTTCAGGATTTGTAGTCGTTGATCTCCTGGCCCTCAGGGCTCAAGCCCAGCAAAGCTCCATTTTCATGCCCTGTCTCCATGGAACCTTCGAGGTACCCCTTTTGAGAGGCCATGGCTCCAGCGTCTATCTTATAGCTGGTGGCTGGCTCTAAGACCATGATAACACCTACTTTTATTTTATTTCATATCTTGGATGTTATTTTATTTTATTACTTTTTAAAAAAGATTTTGTCAGAGAGAGAAAGAGCATGAGCAGGGAGAGCTGCAGGCAGAGGGAGAAGCAGGCCCCATGCTCAGCAAGGAGCCCAATGCGGAACTCCATCCCAGGACCCCGGGATCATGACCTGAGCCGAAGGCAGACGCTTAATTGACTGAGCCACTGAGCCACCCAGGCGTCCCAACACCTACATTTATTGAGCACTGTGCCAGGCAACATGCTGAGCGTGTCATTTAAACCTCATGACAATCCCAAAAGCTAGGTTCTGTTATTAACTCCATTTAACTGATGAGTAAAATGAAGGCCTGGAGAGGTTACGTAACATGCCTGAGGTCAGGCAGCTAGTAAGCCATGGAGCCAGGCTGTGAATTGTGCCAGGGGTGCTTGTAGAGGCCTTATCAGAGAAACTTTGGGTGAACATACAATCCTGGCTGTCACCCTCCCCTCTGTTCTGCCTCGCCCCCACTAGCTCCAGGATCTTCTGAGCCACTGAGCTAATAGGAGGGCCCTGCCCATCCCGAGCCCTAGCAAAGTGGGTTCAGCCTCCAGAGGAACAGAGGCAGCCTTGTGGCAGGAGCTCCCCCCACCAGTACCACCTCCCTTGTTTGGGTCTGTTTCAACACCCCAGAGCAGCACATTCCATTCTCTGGCACAGCTGGGGGTTGGGGATTCCGGATTCCCCAGGCTGTCTGCTTTCTTCAGGGCCCCAGCAGAGCCTGCTGTCTGGGCTGGGGTACTGGGTCCCAGCCACATACATTCCAGCAGCAACCACCCCCCACGTTGGATTTCCCAAGGAGTGAACTTTAGCCAGGATTACAACCAACTAAACAGTTGTGGGTTGTGAGCTTCCTTTGTGGGGCTCAAGAGCCTGGATGCTGATGGGGCTGAGAGGGGAGGAGGGGGTCAGGGGTGGGCGGCTTTGGGGCAGGAGAAAAGCCGCATTCTGAGGTTGGCTCCCCTGCTGCTGACAGGGCCCTTGGTGTGGGCTCTGAGCAGGGCTCCCAGAATTCTTCCTGCGAGGCAGGGTGGCAGATAGTCTGTCTCCCCCCGACACCTTGGCTTTGTCCCCTGCATGCAGTAGTATAGTGGTTAAGAGCCCGGGGTCAAATTCTAGTACCACTCTTAACGTACAAGCTGTGTGTCCTTCAATAAGCTCATTAACCTCTCTGAACCTCAGCCTCCTCATCGTTAAAAAGGGCTGTTGGCAGGCTTAAATTAGAATACCAGAGTGAGGGGCGCCTGGGTAGCTCAGTTGGTTGAGTATCCAGCTCAGGTCATGATCTCAGGGTCGTGAGATTGAGCCCCACATCGGGCTCTACACTCAGCACAGGGTCTGCTTGAGGATTCTCTCTCCCTCTGCCCCTCCCCTCTCATATGGGTGTGCTTGCTCACTCTCTACCCCCCCCCCAGTAAAATAAATAAACAAAATCTTTAAAAAGAAAAAAATAAGAATACCAGCCAGAGTGCTTGGAGTAGTGCCTGCCACCCAGCATGAGCTTGATATTTATTCTAGTATTATATGTCTTCTCCTCTGTTAGCTTACATACCCTCCGGGGGTGTATTTTCTGAAGTAAAATGCGAAATGTAGGTTCTATCTTGAAAGTAACAACTCTGGGTTTTAGGTAAGATGTTCCTGTCTCTTCCCTACCTTCCTGCCAGTAGCGTTTCTTAGTTAACAAATCAGTTAGGAATGTACTGTTATGTGTAAGGCACCATGCTAGCCAGGTTAAGGCCTTAGGTTAGTAAAAATACTCATTACCATTTAATGAATATCTTCTAAATGCTGGGCACTGGTTCCAGGAACTTTTCATATGTTTCCCCACTGAACACTCAGCCACCCTGTGAAATAGACATTATTACTCCATTTTATAGTTGGGCAGTGTTCCCAGTGTCACATGGTCACTAAGTCACAGTATTGGAACTCAAAACTGGGCTCTACTACCTCTTTTCACCTGATCCTGAGTATTTTTTTTTAAGATTTATTTATTTTTTAGATTGGGGGAGGGACAGAGACGGAGGGAGAGAAGCAGACTCCCAGCTGGGCGTGGAGCCCTATGCGGGGCTCAGTCTCATGACCATGAAATCATGAACTGAGCCGAAATGAAGAGTCAGATGCTTAACTGACTGAGCCACCCAGGCATCCCCTGATCTTGAGTATTTAGCAGCCCGCCCCAGATCTTTTCTGTTCTTTATCAGAACTCTGATTTTGTACCCAACTGAAACACCTGACTTCCTCTGCTCCCTTGCAACTAGGAGTGGCCATGTGACTTTGTTCTGGCTGGTGAGCTAAAAGTGGAAATCTACCAGGTGGGACTTTGTTGGGAAATTACTGTTTTCCTGATCAAAAGGGCCAGAGGCAGCTGACACGCTGTTTTTGCTCTCCTTTCCTGCCCTGCTGCCTGGACTGTGGTTAGAAGTGTGGAGGAGGGCGCACTGTAACCACGAGAACAGAAGCCACCCCCTGGTAGAGCTGGAAGACAGAATGAGTCTGGGACTTGGACCTCGTGCCTGGCTGTCTCCAGACCTCTGGTGTGGAGAAGCCCCACTGTTTCTTGGGGTTTCTGTCAGATGCATCGTTCCCCAGATGCTCGCTGGGCAGCACCAGCTGTCTGTCTCCAGACTGGCTGGGAGGGAGGGAGCGTGTTGTGACCGAAGGAAATGAAAGGTGGGCTCAGGCCTTGTGGGGGCTCCCCTGGTTTTGGGGAGGATTCTTCTTGGTCCCAGGAAGAGACTGCTGGGGGGATCTGACAGCAGATGTTGGGGACAGAGCCGACATATAGAGCAGAGCTTGACCCCTGTGTCGGGGGTGGCTGAGGACTGTCTTACTGGGGCTTCCCGGGATGCGCGAGGGGAGTCTCTCTCCCGCCTGCTCCATCTCCCTGGCTGCCAGCACCTGACAGAGGTCAGTATTGTGCTTCTGCCAGAAGTAGCTGAAGTCCTATGTGTTCAGTGGAAAAATAATCCCTGGTCCTGGTTGACCATAGAAGTGTCCGTAAATATTTGGTTGGGGTAGGAGGCTGGGAGACAAGGGGCAGATTCAGGGAGCAGGTGGGCTGGGCAGGCTTTGGGTGAGGGTGGGCGGCGGTGGCTCCCTGAGAGTTGAGAAACAAGCAGGCCTCTGCTGCTCCTGACCTGTGGTGAGGCCACCTGCGTGCCCAGGGAGGTGATTTATGGGCAGGCTGTCAGACCACCTGTTAGCTCGCACTGGCCCCAAAGCAGAATTTGGGCCCTTTGGCCTTTCTTGATTCTCTGTGGCAGCGTGCTTCTCGGAGAGCCCTGGAAGCCAAGTCCTCACAAGAGAACGCGGCTGCATTGTCTTGGAGGAGCAGGAAGCCTTGACTGGACTTGGCAGCTGGACCCTCGCTGGTGAGGAAAGCTGCTCTGGGGGTGTCCCCAGACCCCTGCTCTGGGTACATCTGCCCTGTCCCTCAGCATCTGCTGACAAACCCCTGGGTCTCCTTCCTGGCACCACCCCTTCCAAATGCTGGACATTTGAGGGGCAGGAGCCTGTTGCCTCCATTTCAGGCCTTCTCCCCTCCCTGCCCCATTCAGCTCCAGGTAGCAGCACCATCTGCTCTGAGCTCGCTGAAGAAGCCCTCAGTTACAATAGCTGCTTCCTTCCCGGTATGCAGGACCAAGACCCTTCCAGCCTGAGGTCATCTCAGCCCCTCACCCTTCTCCTGCCTCAGCTGTTGGCTTATCTAGATCGAGGTTTTCTTTCCTTTTTTTTTTTAAGATTTTATTTATTTATTTGGGAGAAAGTGAGTGAGAGCACAAGCCAGGGTGGGGTGGGGAGGCAGAGGGAGAGAGAGAAGCAGACTACCTGCCAAACCAAGCAGAGAGCCAGATGTGGGGCTCGATCCCAGGACCCTGGGATCAGGACCCGAGCAGAAGGCAGCTGCTTAACCGACTGAGCCACCCAGGTGCCCCTAGATCGAGGTTTTCAACCCAGGCTGCATACCACCCCAGGGAACATCTAGAAGATTCAGATTTCTGAGCCCCCTCCAGAGATTCCAATTTAATTGGTGTAGAGTGGGGCCCCTATTTTGGAAAAGCTCTGTAGATGATTTGAAGTTCTATGTGTTAAAATGCGGTTTCTGATATAGTAGGCCTAGTATGTGTTTCTGACCGGCTCCTGGGGGTGCTGCTCCTCTGGCCCCTGTGGCACAGGTCGACCCCATCCTTCCCTGCAGGTCAGGACCAGTGCCCAGGGCGGTCTGAGTGCCAAAGGGGTAGGAGTTGACACGTTTAGGCCCTTGGCTCTTCAGAGTAGTTCCCTGTGGCCCAGGCTTCTTGGGATCCGAGGAGCATGCAGTGTCAGGGACATGCTGCAGGACTGTGGGAGCCTTCTGACTGTGGGAGAAGGCTGGGGATCTCGGCGTCTCTCTCCCTCTTCAGGAACAAAGGGACGGTCGTCTCCATTCCTCACTGGGTGATGGGGATGAGAAGGGTGATCCTCACCCTGTGCTCTCAGGGGATCCTACAAGAACATGGGCATTGCAAGTATGTCTGTGTGGACAGGCCGTGGGTTAGGACAAGGGCCTCTTTCTAAAAGTCCCTTCTGAACCTCCCTCTGCCCACCTTTGGGGACCAGCTGACAAAGAAAGAACCTAGTCGAAACCAACTGTTGTTTTTTTGATTTAATTAAAAACTTAAAAACATTAGAAACCAAACCTTGCCTACGTCAGATCTAGTACCTGTGGCCTTGCAGCGGTGGTGATAACTTACCATCAGGGTAACAGGGACATGCGGAGGCTGAGGGCCGAACCCCAAAAAGCAGCCTCTGGGAGGGGGTCTGGGCTGGGCTTCTCTCCAGTCTAGCAGGAAGGGAAAGGGTAAGAGATGGGGAAGGTGGGGAACTGTGGCTGGAGGGCACTGTGACCCTAATGCCTCTCCTCTGGGGGACTACGATGACATGAGTGGGCAGTGGGGGTAGGGAACTGTCCCCCAAATAGCTCAGCCTAATACTGAGACTTTTCCTCTTCAAGGCAAGGCCTCACCACCAACAGAGGGGAGCTGACACCATGGTCTGCTTGGGAATCTGCCTCCTCAGGCTGCTCAGAGCCCCTCCACACTTCCCTTGCTCTCTCCTCCACCTACTTTCCAAAACCCTGGGTTCCTTCCCAAATGAGAAAGCCTTGCTCCTAAGAGAGGAAGTCCCCAGGGACCCCAGAACCCCCCAGTTATGGACACCTCAGGCTCCATGCCCATTCCTTAGGGCCTGTGCTGGTAACGACGCTGCATGAAACGACTTAGGCAGGGGCTGAGTCAGCCTGGGAGTAGGGGTGAGGCCAAGTGGGCAGGAAGAGAGAGTGCCCCAGGGATGGGGAGAGGGCAAGGCACAGCTGGCTGCAGTGGGCAGGGAGGAGCGCACTTCAGTGGGGTTCAGCGGCCCCATAGAAGAAGGGGTAGTAGAGGGAGCAGGGGTAGGAGAACATGAATTTCACCGCGAACTTCATCTCCTTATTCTTCTTGTCCCAGCGGTAGACGGCCATAAGCAGCAGCTGTCCGTCCACTTGGCGGCCCATGAGCAGGAAGCTGCCGGTCAGGCTGTCCAGCTGTGGGCAGGGGCAGCTGGCGCCGCTCTTCATGTGCAGCACCAGCCTCTTGGTGTCCTTGCGCTTCAGGGGGCCTGGCTTGAGTAGCTGCTTCTTTTTCTGGGCTCCAATCAGCTTCCGGTCCCCATTCTCTATCTTGATCTCCTTGATGCGCATTTTAACCACTGTGTGTGTGTGCCGAGGGGGGAGACAGAGGGACAGGGTGAGAACGGGCAGGTTTGCTCAGGATGCTCTTGGGCCCCCACTTGGTGCCTGGGCCTTGGGGTGGTAGACTTCATGATCCCTGGGATCATGGGATCCAAATGGGATTTCTGGCTGTGTGTGTGTGTGTGTGTAGCAGTGATAGGGTGGGCTGGTAAATGTTTGACAGCTGGCCCTGGGGAGGGGTTCTGCTCTGTGGCACGTGCTGGTTTCTGTGGGGGTGAATGCCCCCCCCACCATGTCCCACCGCATCACAGAGCGCTGGGTTGAGCAGCATGCGCGCAACCAGCTCTTGCTGGTGTGAACACACCACTGTAATCTGTGTGAGACTGTACAGTATGGGTGGGAGTGTGCTGTTCGGTGCTGTGTGGTTCATGTAGGAGAGTATGTGGTGTGTCTGGAGGGTGGGGATGGGGGAGGTGCTTGAAGGCCAGAGTGGGGTCGGGGTGACCAGCCAGGGCACACAAGGTGGCTGTAGAGAGCCTAGTACAGTTGGGGATTGGGAGTCTGGAACTTGGGGGGGTCACTTAGGCTAGTCTCCCCCTTCTTCAGGCCTCTGGATCCCCATCTCTGTGGGCAACCAGGGAGATACCAGAGAATGACTCTGTTCACCCAGGGAAGGAAATTGTAAAATCTCTTTCTTTCAGTCTCTCTCTTTCTCCCCTTACCCACTCTCTTTTTCTCTCTTGGACACACACACACACACACACACACACACACACGCCTTGCAATAGGAGTATTCTCTTTCCAAACAGACTAATGACATAAAAGACCAAAGTAAGGATTTCATTGCGATCTCTTTTTTTATAAACAGGGAGACTAAGACAAAACAGCAGCCAGCTTGGCAAAGGCCACATGCCGGCTCGTGTGGTCCTGACTAGACTTGGCTCACTGTCCCAGGAATGGAGAGGCTCCAGCATGAAGGCGTGGGACAAGAGACCGCAGCTCCCCTGGCCAGAGGTGCATCGGGTACCACGCAGAGGTGCCCAGGGACGAGGGTGCTGCACTTCCATCCTGGGGCCCAGCTCTTTCCCTGACGCCCCCATCCATCTCCAGGCTTAGCTTGCTTCTCCCAAAGAGAATCCAGCCCTGGAGGCCCCTCTCTTGGCAGGTGCTGAGGGAGGGCTGCAGGAGCCTTGGCCAGGGGTTGGTTTTGGGGCCCATGGACCATGGCCTTGAGGGGCTTCTGAAGCCCCTGGGATGACCTGCAAAATGAGGTGCATTTCTTTGGCCAGACGGTTCATGGTCATGATCAGATTCTAAAAGGGACCCATGATGCAAAAACTGTTAGTATTCACTATGATGGTTGTGGACATGGGTGTTTGTTGTGTGTGTGTTTGTGTGTGTCAAGGAGGAGAGGAATTGGGGCAGTGGCCACGTGGGCTTCACACTCACCGAAGTCGCTGGAACACATCTGCTCCATGAGGCCGTCGGCACTGTGCTCCATCTCACACTGGGCACAGATCTTGGTCACTGAAGAGAGAAGCAGGGGTGGGGTCTGATGAGGGGAGGCTGATGAGGGCATCGGAGTCCGAAAAGCCACTCAAGAGTACGGGCTTACCCCACTGAGGAGCCACCTCCCCCTGCCAAGCCTCCACTCTCATCAGGACATGGGATGATGGTAATGGTGCTCACTGAGTAGTTGTGAGGTTCCAAAAGAGACAAGGTTGCACGGGGACAAAAGTGCCCCCGTGGGCACAATTGCTCCATGACCCTGGCAACTGCCACCATGATGTGCGTTGTCGTCTTCTAAACTTTGTTTCATTTAGTCCTCAGCCTATGAAGTAGGTATTATTAAAAGAAAACTGAGGCCCAGAGTGGTACCCAGGTCTGCAGTACTATTGTGAACTGAGCTTAGAACTCAGGATTTGTGACTCCCAGGCTAGTGCTGGGATGGGGGTATCTGCAGGGTCTTCCTAGGCACACAGGGTCCCGGCAGGTGGTAGGGTAGGGACTGTGGTAAACTGAAGAGCATCAGCCTCTAAGGTGGGCAGCTTGACATTGCCAGAACTTTTGGTTTTTCAAGGGAAGCCCAAACTCTTAATTTTTATATGAAATATTCTCAGTTTTATTGTTAGCCACACAAACACTTCAGGCTGCCTCTGGTTCTCAGGCCACCACACAGCACCTGCGCTCTGTCCTATATCTCTGCCTCCGGGTGGGCGCCCCCATCAAAGGGGAAAGCGGGCTTCAGAGAGGGCAGGGCCTGGTGGGATTCCGAGCCCGAGCCCAGGACTTCTTGCCTTCCAGGCTGTTAACACGTGGCTTCCAAGAAAACCAGGAAAGGAACCATGCCGGGATCCCTGCTAGGGACTGCACTGTCTCTGCTTGAGCTGGCTCTCTCCCCTGCTTCCTGGTCCCATTTCCAACCCAAGAACACTCCCCAGTCACAGGACCCCAACCCAACTGACTCTCAGGAGGGAAATGGGGGTGTAGGACCAAGGGCTGTGTGGATGAAGTTAGACCTGGGTGGGTGGGTGGGTAGCGTGCGGTGGAGTCCAGTTGCTTTTTGGGGGTCCGGTCAGATGGGAAAATGGGAAAGCAGCGCTGCCCCTCGGGGGAGTCCCAGCATCAGGGGCTCCTTAGACTCTTGAATCAACTGCCCAGACAAAACCTTTCTCAGTGCCACTTTTTATTCTCCTGTCTGGTGCCCAGCTCAGGCTTACTCTGTTTGCAAGGAGTTTGGCATTTGGGGGTGGGGGGTGCACAGTGAAGGGAGGCTGAGACCGAGGAGGAATTAGGGGTAATGGGTCTTGGGGTGGGTGGGAGGTGGCACTGAGGATCTCACAGGTTTCTGGAACCTGAGCTCACTTCCTATGTTACTTATGGAAAAACTGAGGCTCAAAGTTAAGCAACTCCTAAGGGCTCCTTTTCAGTGGCAGAGCCTGGCAATCTGCTCTTTCTTCTGCACTGAGCTTTACCTGAAGGTCTCCCAATCTGGGGGGATTGGGGAAGCGAGTGGGAGAATTTAGGGTTCCTAGGTACAGAAAATGTGTGTGTGTGTATAGGTAGGCTGGAAGGCTGGGGTGGGGGGGGAGTTGCAATTCCCGGGGCATGCAGGGCTGAGCAAAGGCTGTGTGTGTGTGTGTGTGTGTGTGTGTGTGCGCGCGCGTGTGTGTAAGGGGGTGGCACCTCCGGGGGCACCCGGGGCGTCGGAGCGCACGGGGGCGGCGGCGGAGCTACCTGGAGGTGCGGTGGCAGGCAGGTGTCCGAACTGCATAGTGATGCAGAGGTCGTTGTCCAGAGGGAACTTGTGGCAGTGCAGCATCTCGGGCCAGGGGAAGCCGTAGGCCTCCATGAGCGGCGCGCAGCCGGCGCGCACGGCCTCGCATAGCGAGCGGCACGGGTAGATGGGCCGGTCGAGGCAGACGGGCGCGAAGAGAGAGCAGAGGAAGACCTGCGTGTCCGAGTGGCAGCGCTTGGCCAGCAGCGGCAGCCAGCTGCTCGCCTGCTGCTTCACCTCGGCCAGGCTCTCGTGCTCCAGCAGGTTGGGCAGCCGCATGCGCTTGTAGCCCACGGTGTGGCAGAGCGGCAGGTCGGCGGGGATGTCGAGGCACTGCGGCGGCTTGGAGTACGCGCGCCCGTGCAGCGGCTCC